AATGTTGATGTAATTCTATTCCTATAGCTTGGGATCTAGAAAAGTAATAAGAAGTTAAGAACCATCACAAAAACGTTGGGCTCTTGAAAGCAAGGTGGTCTGGACTTAGGCCTACATTTTTTTATGCTTTTATCTTGGCAATAATGAAGAAAAGGCCCAACTTTGCCGCTTCAGAACTAAGTAGAATAATACTAAACTTCTGCCTCTGTCTGCTGAAGAGATAGAATTGCACATGCTGCTCATGAGCAGCCCTAATTGGTCTGTGATAAGACTCAACAAGGTATGGGAATGGGTCTACATCTCCCCTTTCAGAAAAGAAAAAAACGTTGTGGGGCTGTATTTTTCATCATAAATAAATTTAGAACTTTCGTAAATTACGGTTGTCGTAGTCCATGAAAATTCGGCAAATAACTTGGGCTTGGAGGAGGCCCATCTAAATCATTTGGGCTTCGTTGATATGAGGAAGTGAGGATGAAACTTATATGGCTCAGAGTGAAATCCATTGCTGCAGCCCATGGTGAAGACTCCAAATAGCTTTATATGGGCTAAGAGGATCTAAACCCGAACTTGACCACGACAAAGGTTATGGGTGTGAGTAGGTAGGTGTATTAAGTTTGATGTTTTTAAGTCTTCATGGTAATAAATTAAGGATGCTGAACTTTTTGATTATGTCCATTAAGAAAGTTTCTTATCAGATTAATGTCAAAACTTCAATTGTTTCACCTTAAACTCCCTCATGCCAATTAGAATAATGATCACCTCATTGACAATGTATCAAAATGCACACTAGATCACTAGCTGCTTGGGTTTGTGCGCAATATTGGTGTTATGCTACCACTTTAGAGAAGGACTCACTCTTGCTGTCACTACCCATTTTCAAAATGTGATAATTGAAATTGATTGCTAGGTTGTTTATAATATATGCTTATAGGTTGTCTCATCCTTTATCATCGTTACTTTGATTTCGAATTACCAAACCCTTTTGAATATAATTATATGAGTTTATTCATTTTAATACTAAATCTTTAGTGTTTAGAAGTCATATTAGAAGTCATATTGAATCGTGATTAATTTAGAGTTGAGTCACATTAAATTCTATAAGAAAAAAAACTTATCCAATACTTATTTTTCTATTCTCAAAACTTAAAATTATGATCTTATTTAACTTATTTAAGAAGAATCAAATTTTTTCTATTTGAATTAATAGATTATTAGTTCTATGGTATATTTTTTTATAA